ATATATATATATATATATAGATATATATATATTATTTGTTAAATACATAAAAATTGCGTGACGTGAATGTAAATTATTAAAAAAAACAAAAATGGTAGCACATATGCCGTTAGCTTTACATTTTGTTTATTTCAACGCAGTGTGAATAATTACCTTCAATTTATTTATGATATCATCAACTCCACTTTACACTTCTTGTATGATTAGCCAAGTTTTGTGCTAAAAAATAAGGAAGTTTTACATTTAAATCAATAACACTCAATTACTATGTGTTTACATACATTATCTATATAGTTTAAATTTTTCATAGATGACATTTTTTCTATGCATTTGAAGTTGTTGGAATTTTTTATTTAGAGCATTTACATAATTTTACTGGTAACTGAATGAAATTAGTTAATATTATGATTCATTTGAAGATGGATATATTATGTATTTAAGAAACTAAATTGGTTTGAGATAAGAGTAAGGAGATTGATAGTTTATGTTTTAAAGTTTAAGTATTCAGGTATGAGTCATGCTGGAAATGGTGCAGGAGAAATTATAGATATGAGTTTGAAAGTCAATTTTAGAATTTGAGATAGAATTACAACCCTAAAGATTGTTGTTGATACTAACTAAGATTTTGAATGTTATGAGTGCTTATGATTCTCAAGTAGGTTTAGATGTAGGTTTAAAAGAAAAATTTTAGAATACCTAGAAGAATTATTACAAATGATATCTTTTGAAGAAACAATTTTTATTGGAGGAGATCTAAATGGACATATTGGTGTTGTGATAGATTTTAGGATAATTTATGGGGCTACGGTTTTTGAGTGATTAATGAGGAAGGTAGAACTATATTTTGCATTAGTGTATATTTTTTGTTATTGCTAATACTTTTTTAAGAAAAAAATGAACATATTTTTATTCATAAGAATAGATCTAATAAAATATAAATTAATTATTTACTTATAAGAAAAGAGATATTTGAGAGTGTAAAGATTGTAAGTTCATTTCAAGTAAAAATTTTAGTACTGAACATCAATTATTAATTCTGGATTTTAAGATGAAGAGTTGTAAGATGAATAAAACATAGAAACATTATTATATAATTAAATGGGGGCACTTGAAAAACACAAATAAAATTATTGTTATGAGTGAACTTCAAGATTTAAAGATTTGAGACATTCATGAAGAAGGGAATTCTATATCAAATAGAATAATGAATACTATTAAACAAGTGACAAAAGAAGTATTTGGAGAATCAAAAGAAAATACTTGTATAAATAAAAATAGTTGGTGATGGAATAATAATGTGCAAGAAAAAAATTAAATTTAAAAAAATGTGTTATAAAAATTGGTTTAAATGTAAAAGTTTAGGGAACTACGAACAAATATAATTAAGATAATCCACCTGTAAGGAATCTAATAGAACATATTCTAATGCTAACAAAATTGTTTTAGTGTTCTTTATAATAAAATATATACTAAAGAATGTGAAAAATATAAATATAAATTAGCCAAACAAAGAGAAAAAAATTAAAAATTAAATTTAAGATGTATTAAAGATGAAAATCTAGAAATAATTTTCTTAGAGAAATATATTCAATATGAGTGAGTGAGTTATTTTGATAAACTTTTCAATATAGTTTTAGAAAATACGATCGACCTTAGTGATCCTAATATCATTAATAATAATAATAATACATATTATTTTTACCATCGCATTAGTAAAAATGAAGTTGAAGAGGATTTAAAGAAAACCAAAGGTGCAAAAACGGTAGATCCTGAAGATATTCCAGTTGAAGTGAAAAAACTCTTTAATATTATTTTTAAAACTAAAAAGATGTATGACAAGTAGAGGAAGAGTATTTTGGCTTCTATTTTAAGACTAACGGGGATGCACAAGAGTGTACAATTTCTAGAAGAATAAAGTTGATGTGTGATACTTTAAAATATTGGAAAGGGTAATTGAACATATGTTAAGAGATGATAAAAATATTTCTCATGATCAGGTTAGATTTATGTCAGACATGCCTACTATGGAAACTATGCATTTATTAAGAGGTTTGATGGAGAAGTACAGACATAATAAGAATGATTTACAAACGATTTTTATTAATTTAGAAAAAGCTTACGAGAAGGTTCCAAGAGAAGACTTTTTGAGAGTTTTAGAGAAGAGATTTGTTGATATGAGTTATATTTAAGCTATTAAAGATATGTATACTAGAATTGTTACTTGTGTTCGAACAGAAGGAGGATTGAGCAAGTATTTCATATTTCAATTGGATTACATTAGGGATCGACTTTAAGCCCATATCTTTTTGTTATAGTTATGGATGTTTATTGGACATTTACATGATGATGCACCTCGATGTATGCTTTTCCATGATGATATCATTCTTGTGGACAAGTCTAAAGAAACAATTTAGGAAAATTTTGAATTATGGAGGTTTACATTGAAGTCTAAAGGCCTTCGTTTGAGTAGATCTAAAACTGAATACATGAAATATAATTTTAGTAGTAGTAGTTCTTGTGACAGAGCTGTAATTTATGATGATCATATCATTAAAATGTGTGAACGTTTAAGATATCTTGGGTCTACTGTTCGAAGTGGCGGTGATATAGATGGGAATGTTATTAGTAGAATTCAATTTGGTTAGTTGAAGTGAAGGAATGCATTGAGCCTATTATGTGATGGAAAAGCACCATTTTGACTGAAGGAAAATTTTATAAGAAGGTGGTGAAGCCTGTAATGCTCTATGGAGTAGAATGTTGGCCTTTAAAAATGAAGAATAAAACAAAATTAAGTGTTGTTGAGACGAGAATGCTTAGGTGGACAAATGACTTGACACTAAGAGACAAAATGAGAAATAAATATATCCGTGATAGGGTTGTCATAGCTCCAGTGGCAGACAAGATTACAGATTGTCGTCCCAGATAGCTTGATCACATTAAACGTCGACCATCTGATGGTCTTGTTAGGAGAATAAATGTTTTATATTCCACTTATGTTAAGTAAGACAGAGGTAGACCTAAAATCACATGGGCATAAAAAATGATCTTAATCTATTAGAATTAAATGAAAATATGACACTTATTAGGACGTAATGGAGAAAAAGGATTCATGGACCCCACATAGCGGGAAATTTTATTTCTTACATTGATACACCCAAATTTTACATATCACATAAAATTATTAGTATTTTGAACTTTTAAAGAATGAAATACACATTTTTATGCATATGTAAGGCGACATATATGTAAAAATTAAAGTTTAGAGGTTGGAAATGTAAATACATTGAAAATAAGTGGCATGCATATAAATTTTCCTTTTCGTTAATGTATTTTTTAAATGCAATTTTCTTATTTTGTTTAAATTAAATAAAAATTCGAAATGATATAACATCTTTGGCCGAAATGAAATTAAAGTGAATTTCACTATTTGGATGAAAATTTAGCAAATTTAGATAAGATTTTAATTTTATAAAAACCTAAAATTAAAAAAAAAACAAAAAATAAAATAAAATCGGGCATTAAAATTTTTATTGAAGCTTTTAATTGCATTTTTAACTTTTTGAACTATAATGTAAATAAATATAAATTGGGTGGCATGTACGTAAATTAAGGACCTATTTGGAAACACTTTATTATTTATTTTCTGCCAGTTTTTGCTTTTATTTTCATAAGTTATTTATTTAATGTATTTTATTTTAAGAAAATAATTTTTAAAAATTACTCAAATGTCTAAGAAATTCTTTTTGAATATTTTTAAGAATAAATTACTCTAAAATAACGCATCGAACATATTTCATTATAAATAAAAATATTAATAAAATAAAACGAAAATTAAAAATAAAATAAAATTAAATTAAATTAATAGTCATCTTCGACAGCCCCTAAGTCTATTTTTGGGCAATGGCAACTATTTACATAATTAACTTAAGAATTATTGTGATAAAAATAATATATATATATGACCTAAATAATACAATAAAAATATAATAAATTAATAATAGAAATATTTTTGAGCTCCCTTTATAAATGAGTTTCATTTGTGTTTGGCTTGTTTCACTCAAAATAATTAAATAATTAAATAATAATATTTATTTAAATTAATTTTTTATATGTATTAAACAAATGTTAATTTTCATTTTTAAAAATTATTTGAAGTATATATTAATAAAAAAAAAATATAAGTTTAGATGTAAGATATGTAGATAAATAAGATCTGAGTGGCATGCATGTAAATATTCCTAAAAATCCAACTTACCCGTGCATAGAATCCGATGCATATAATTTATTCTAGTGTATATAATGTAATAGTATGTTATGGCTAACTACTCTTAATCCCACATCCGTATTTTTGCCTTTAAAAATTATGTATATCTCTATAAAATAAAGACTTGGCTGTTAGGCTTTGTAGCCATGAAATTTTAAATCTTTGGTAATTATAATTTTGTAATATAAATATTCATGGATTCCAATATATATATATATATATATATATATAAAAGCAGTCCATTCGAACCGTGACCGGTTCACCAGCTTTAAAGTTGGACTGCCGGTTTCGGCCAGTTCCAACTGGTCCAATGCAGGGGCGACTTTTAGCCCGCCACCGAAAGGTGCAAGGTCAAACCAGTTGAAACAACCGTTTTGATCCGGCTTTCTAAATCGTGGGTGTAATAGCGATCAACTAAGCAAAATAATGAGAAAATTCCAGCAAATAAACCCTCATTACCAAAAAAAATTAAAAGTTACTTCTCACCATAAAAATTTTTGAAAAGTAACAAGAAACATATGTGGAGAAAACATTGCAGGAAACTAGGCGTGTCGCCAGACGCACAACGTGATTCGATTCACGCTATTGTCTGCAGGTCCAGACATATTTTCTCCTCAAACAAACCCTAAATCTTCATCTTCAACACAATTATTTGACACTAACATATTCCCCACCAAAAAAATGCTACAATAAGTTGCATATGAGAACTTTGTCAACCTTTCAAAAGCATCCTGTGCTAGGAATAACCCTCTCTTCTCCATTCCTATGATACAGAACCTTCTGCACATAATATATCATATAACACTGCAAAGCCCTCACCACCTCCTCCCTCACCTCTGTGATCCAAGCATCATCACACTTGTACCACTGGTTCCTTAACCTCAGATAAGTCACATAATGCCCTGAATCTAATCCCCCACTATGAGTAACCACAGCAAAAACCTCAAACTCAGACGATATCTCCCCCGGCAAATCCGATTCATCTCCCTCCAACGCAAAGATCCTGTTCCCAAACCTATTCCTTATGATCGATGATGACAGGTACGGCGTCATGTCGAGAGAGAATGGGAATTGCATGTACTGATCCAGCTTCTTCGACGTCCTCCGGATCGCCGAGTGCGCAAATCGCTTGACATGGAAGCATAGAACCAGTGGCAGCCTTCGGACCGACATTTGCTTCACCGAGTCTTGCTTCACTCGGCAGTTCTGACAGTATAGTTTCTGATCAGAGCCGAGCTTCTCAGGCCTTGTGAAGAGGTCGAGACTCCCCGTGAGAGTCGATATTCTAGCAGTTCTATCGGCTGGGCCTGCAGATTTATCCGTGTTATAGTCGGCCTCCAGGTCGACGGAAATGTCGACGCAGGGATCGTAGGTGGTGGATGTAAAGCCACACACAGTGCAGGTGATATCAGATCTCAGGATTCCAGAAAATACACTGTGGGCAATGCAGTGGCAATCAACAGCGCCTGTGGAAGCAAAAATGGAGTAATAAACCATGTAATTAAGAAGAAGAAGAAGATTGAGAGTGCCAATTACCTTTACTGTTGAGGCCAGATAGCTCCTTGTCATGTATCTTGTCTAGTATGGAGATGAAGAACTCATGGGCATCCTGCTGCTCATAACCAGACAGATTAGATGAATTCTTCCACCAGCTGCAACAGAGGCAGTTTGTTTCATGCGCATGAATATCAAGCAGAAAACTTGTAGTAATTCTTGTGAGGTATAAGACGTTATAGATTCCTAATCAACAAACTGATAATGTCTGCAGGGCAAGTTTATATAAATCTCAGAATTTTTCTCAAGTGATGTTTGGCTGCAGGCAATATTTAGTGTTAGTAGGATTTAGTAAACCCGGATTTATTAAATCCATCCCCTCATTGAATTTATTAAATCCAGGTTCAAGATATTTGGACCTTAAATCCAAAAATTTTATCTTAGGCTATATTTCGTAAATCCAGCGATAAATCCTGTTAATAGCCACTACTAAACACCCCCTTAGTCAGACATATGCTGGTGTTCTCTTAGGATCAATATAGATGATATTGAAATTCAAAGATTAGGGTGCACCATCAACTAAAATAATGTCAAATTAATCTGATAGTGCAGATTATGCAAAAGGAAGTTGAGAAATTGCTTTAGAATATTTACTTATCAACTTCTTATGCTATTCTAGTATGGACTGCTCACATAATTTAATTTTCAATAGACAACAACTTCAGCCTCCTGTATTTCTTTCCTTGCTAAGAGGAGAAACAAAAACAAACATTCTGCTATTGATACATACATACCACTCAATTTCCGAGTATTTACATATCTAGCACCTAAAGTTCAATTTCCACATATATGACATGTTATCTATGCATAAAAATGTTAACATATTTAAATTTGGGAAATTACATAAGCAGCACGTACATAGCACTTTGATGCTTTAAGCCCATGCATGAGAAAGTGTAATTCACTATTAAAAAGTGATAATAGTGCTATTTTTGATGTGATATTAAACATTTGAGTGCTGCATGTAAATATGAAAGTTTAGGTGTGAGATCTATTAATACATAGGAATTGACTGCTATGTATGTAAATGCCCCTTTAAATTTCTTCCAGCCTTCTTCTTTTTCTCTCTTTCTTCTCACTTAAAACTTGGATGATCCTTCAACCATCAGCCTCTTCACATTAGGGAAAGAATCAGAATCAAAACTTGAAATCTCTCAAGAGCATTTGCCTTTGTAGATGATTTCCAAGTACTTCACCAATACAAGAATAATTTGCAAGAAATAAACATTACAAAAAAAAGGGACATTCACATACATACCACACAATTCCTATGTATTCAGATATCTAACATCTAAACATTCCTAGTTGCATGCATACCACTCAAATCCTTAACATAAAATCACAATGTCACCATCACTTTCTCCTTAAAAGTGAAATAAACATTTTCCTGCGTAGATTTATGAAATCAAGGCGTTATGAGTGTAAATATCAAACTTTGGGGGTTAGATACATAAATATATAAGAATTGTGTGGTTTGTATGTAAATTTCTCAAAAAAAAAAAAAAGTGCTACCTGTGAATTAAATATTCACAGCTGCCTCCAAAAAACTTTCCTTTTTTACTTTGATTTGATACAATAAGCTATTTTGCGAAAATGTTCTTTTCATATGCACTTTTATGACATTATATCTGCCATACAACCAAATCACTTCTAATTTTTTCCTTGATAATTGCCATGTGAAGGAAAAATAACTAACATAAACCTCAGAACAACAACTAGGTGACCGCCTATAGCTCGAGTTTTCAATTCAAAGCAGGCATAGAAAACTAAAGGGCAATGAAAAATTGAAGAAGAGAGGGAGAGGGTTTTGTTCGCTCCCAAATATTGTTAATGAGCAATTAACCCATGCAACAATTTAAGTGTAAGCAAATATTTTTTCAAATGTCGAAGTAAAAGTGAAGTTGTGTCTTTGGCCCCATGATTGGAGGCCTTAGCTCCCATCATGGAGATAAAAGTTTGAACACGCTAACTACTATCTTCTTACATTTGAGATTAAATTTGCTCAACATAAAAACAAACAAGGATGATTTAAATACATAGGACTCGCTTCTTATATATTTATATATCTAACATGTAAATTACTACTTTTTTTTTACATCTGTCACCTTATCTATGCATGAAAATGTTTATTTCATTTTTTAAAAAGTTTCTTTTCTTTGGGGGGTCGATGAGTTTCGAGCATGAGACCTCACCATATTTTTTAAAGTTAAAATAGTAATACTATTGATGTGTATGAAAGATTGGGATGGTATAAATGTAGAAGGCAACGTTTAGGTATGTATGAAAACGCCGCACAAAAAAATGGATGTTTGATCACTACAAAGCACATTTAGGGCCACCATTTTAAAATTCCAAAATATGCCATTCAACTAAGAGATTCAAAATAACAAATATAGAACAAGTAAGACACTTTTCTCTTATTTGTGGCGCGATGAGCTCTCTAGTTGTCAAGATGCTTGCCCCTTAGCCTCAATTGTGCTAAACGTGGACTAGGTGGAATTAAGTTCATGGATTAAAGAGCTAAAACAAACTCTATGAGCGGTGAAGGAGCATGCAAATAAGATCATTGAAGGGCAACTCCGAGTCCACATCACATCACATCACCAAAAAAAATTAGGTAAATTTATATAGATACCACACATTTATTATGCATTTACATATCTAACACCAAAGTTTGATATTTATATTTATAACATATTTATAACACCTTGGTTTGGTGTCATAAATCTGTGCATGAAAGGTGTATTTCACTTCTAAAAGGAAGGTGATGATGGTATCTTGTATGTGGTGTTAAGGATTTGAGTGACATGCATGTAAATATGCATGTATAGGTGTTAAATACATAAATACATAACAATTGACTGGTACGTAGGTAAAAAACACAATAAATTATTATAAAACTACTCGCACATTTAGAAGAGGAAAAAAATTGAGTCAAGATGTCTTGGTTTAAATTTGATCATGCATAACTTTGTAGCCATCAAATTTCTTTTGAGATGAGTATAATACATGATTAATTAATAAGAAGAAGCATGCACTCATCTTAAAATAAATCTAACTGCTAAAGAGACCATCTTAATTACATTGTGGGGCAGAATATTTAGACCTTTCTTTTTTTAATTTTTTGGGGCAATTACATACAGTCCACCCGAAACTTGTTATCTTAAATCAACCACCCCTTTGATCCATTTTTCAAATTCTCACTCAAATATCAAATTTCATGGTAAAGCCAGACTCATATTTTTCGTTTTTATCAAATTTTCAATTGTTTGATTGTGGCAAGCGTAAATACATCGGTTTAGTTCAAAAAAATCACCTAGGTGGTTAATTTGTAAATATCAATGTTTCGGGTGTTCTGTATGTGATTATCCCCTTTTTTTTGGCCTTCAGTAGAAACATGGTTACCAAGTCCCTCTATATCACATCCAATTTCTTAATAGAAGTTAGCACCTTACAATTGTTTTGAAAACTCTATAATTTGTGTTGTAGGAATGAACAAAATCAAAACTTTAACCTCACTAAAAAAAAAAAAAAATAGAATCAATCATCTATTTACAATTCCAAACAACCTTATTTTCAAAATTCCACATTTATAATTTTGCAAGAAACACAATCCCAACAGCATTCTATACACATCCCAAATCAATCAACATCTAACCTGTAAAGAAACCTCGCCGGGCTATATGGCTTCCGGTCGCCTGAAAACACCTCCAAGTACACACCCTCCACAATGCAAGCCAGGCACGGACCTTCTCCCACCCCCGCCACCGCTGAACTCGCTCTCCTCCTCTTCCTCTGACGGCAAACCTCCTGTTTATGATGATCGCCCAAGAAGTAATTCCTCAATGGCGGTGTGTGCAACAAAGCCTGTAATACAGAGTTCATGAAGCAAGTATTCCCCAAATTGTTCAAACCCCTCAACCCCCATGGATGCAGCAACGTGCTCCTTATCCCCCGACAGCTGGATACCTCTGCCGGCGGCTGCAAAAGCATCATCAGCGGCAATCGCCTCCGGTGGCGGAGAGGGGGATGATTAAGGATCTTGGCGGCCGCCGCTACAACGGCAGTGTCGGAAACGGGATCGGAGACTGGCGCAGGGGAGACAGAAGAGCTCGGCGCGCTCGATGTCGACGGAGATATCGTGGCCGGGGGAGGAGATGGAGTGGGAAGCAGCGTGGGTACGGCATGAGATGGAGGAACAGATCAAGCAGAAATAAAGACGGCCGATGGAGGTGTTATGGCAAGAAGTGCAGGTAGGGTTTGTGGACAGGAGATCGCTGAGAACTGTGCGGCCGCTGGGTGACGAGCGAAGGCTCTTTCGTAAGGATTGGTAGCCGGAGAGGCCATGTTGTTGTCGGTAGGAGGAGAGATGGGTGCACGGTTTTGGATTTGCAAATCTGGGATTTTTCCTTGAAGCCATAAAGACCGGCGATCGGCGATCGGCGATCTGCGATCGGAGATCGGTGGCGGTAAAGATGGGGAGGTTATTTGTTCCCAGAATCGGTCAGGGGACGAGGAGGAGAAGAGAAGCTCCACCATTCATATACATACCTACATATATATAGCATTTACATTTATGCCACTTAGTTTAGATAAAACCAAACACCCTAAAAATATCACTATTTTAGTTTTTTTTTTTTCTTTTTTTAGGTGAAATAAATCTTTTCATACATATAGGAGTGTAAGTAAGTCAAGCCGACTCGTGAGCCCGCTTGAGCTCAGCTCGATAAATGCTCGTGAACTAAGTTCGATGAGTTAACAAGTCCAGCTCAAGCTAGCTCTGACTCAACTCTTGAGCTCAGCTTATTTTAAGAAAATATTAATATAAAATATACTCATAAAATATAAAATTTGAAAATTTTATCCATAAGACATAAAAAATATTTTAAAAATAATATTTTATATTTTATATTTCATTATTTGTTATTATTTCTCTTTCAATTATTCATTATTTGTCATTTTATGGTAGTATTATTTTAAATTAATATTATTTTCTATCTTTCATGATAAATAAGCTGGTTTGAACTCCATAAAATTAGTCAAGTTCAGGCTCAAGCCCACGATGGCTCAAGACTAGAGACATTCACACATTTTTATGTCAGAAGTGAAGTTGAGAGTGTTAGATATGTAAATATATAAAAAGTGAGTGATATATGTGTAAATCTTCGAATAAATAATTGATCACAACCAAACCAATCGATACCGCCACCAAAAAGTACCACGAATTAGCGAGAGAGGGGGCACCTCTGGTTCTGTTCTGAGCGCCGGCGAGACGGGATGGAGAAGGGCAAAGGTTTAGCTCGGCGATGGGCGGTGGAATTCGCCGAAAGCTCTGCGTTAGCTTCCTCGTCCTCTTCTTCTTCTGGCATCCCAGATCCCCTCGGTTACAACATATCTCTTCATGATGTGGTACATCTATCTCCAAAGATCTCTCTATCTGTTTATCTATTTATCTCGGCGAATTTTTTTTTGATGCATCTATGAATTTTCTTGCCTCTGCAGGATGATTCGACGGTGGCCCGCCAGAAGAAGGACGCTGAGGCAGCATGGAAATCTCAGGTACTGGATTTAGGGTTTTGGCGATCGATATTTATTTTATTGATTTGTGGGTTGATCGAACTTTGTTGTCGTTGTTATGGAAGGGATGTTGAGCTTTTCAAATATATGCTGGTTTCTGCATTGAAATTTGATCTTTTGTTGAACTTTCTGAAGTATTGTTGGTTTTTCTGTATAGGGAGGCTGACTGTTCTTGTTTTGAGTGATAATCTTCTTTTTGGCTGAATTGCGAAATTCTGAACCTTATTGGTTGGGTGATTGACTGGAGATGTTATCTATATGTTAAGCGATGAAGGTATTTAGAAGAACCCATGGTAGGGGGGTTACAAGCTTGATTATCACATTAAATTAAATTATAGTGATCTTTGACGTCTCTACAAAATTCATATGGTCAAATGATGATTTTGATGCAAAATTGCATATTTAAAAACTTCATAATATTTGGACCATAAGCTTCAGCAATTGATTTGGAGATTGTCTGAAGTTCTTTTTCAGCAAGTTTATTATAAATACAATATGCTTTGCGACTCTTACCGAAGGGCACAGAAAAAAGAATTTTTATCCCAAGGGCACAAAAAAGATTTTTATCTAAGTCCAGATGGACTTAGTTAGGCACTTGAATGCAAGATTGAAAACATCTTAAGGCTATTTTGAGGGGAAATTATCCTATGAATTTCATTATTTATAGATAAAATTAGCTTCTTGAAAAGACAAATAGGATGAGCCCAAGATAGTTCAACTTTGAGCTTATTAAGACGATAAGCTATCTAAAAACCATAAAAATCTAGGGGACTCAATTTAGACAGTTTTATGAGTTTCCTAGTTCTTGGTAGAAATCACAAGATAATCCATTAGAAATTTCTAGATAGCTAGTGTTTTTTTTCTTATTAAAACTCTTTTGGGTGCATAAAATTTGGGAACTTTGAGAATTTCAAATCACTGCTTGTTAACAATGATGTTTATTTTCACTACTGCTAATGTTAACCATCCATCAATGATGATGCTTATCATATAGCAATATAATAGTGGTCATTGGCCAATATTGGCGCCTTTCATCACATTGCCAAATGTTAAAAATCAACCAACTCTAATGCCCATAGTACTCATGCCTGTCATCACATTGCCAAATGTTAATAATCAACCAACACTAATGCCCACAGTCACCACTGTTAGATGCTAGCCATTGACCAACACTAAATCTCACTATTTCTAACACTATATTAGTCATCAACCTATGCAAAGCCTCCATTGCCACTATCACATATGATTTGTCGATTAGTGTTGACTTCTTAACATTGACCAACTACAAACATATGATGCAAGCCTTCCCTTTCATCCATTATCCCATTTTATAAAATAATATTCGAGTTGAACTACAGATCGCTTGGCCTGCGACGTTTCTAGTCGACCATCGCTATGACACATACCTATGTTTGTCAACCCAATGTTGCTTGATGAAAAATTACCTATGTTTGATGAATAATAAGTGTGATATTCAATTACCTATGTTTGATGAAAAATTTCTGGATCATTTAATTTTTTCTCCTAAAAGGTGAATGGTTAAGTTAGCCAACCCAATGTTGCTTGATATTTGATGTTTCCTTTTGATGAACACTTGACACACAACAAAAAGTGATGTTTGATGTTTGTTAGCCACTAATGTATGATGTAAGCCTTCTTGATTGCTGATCTCTCATTCTAACTTGAGAACAATCAAATTATTATGTCTGAGTGCCACCTGACTTCCAATGTTCCTTATCAAACACTGCCTAACATTTACCAAAGAGCAACATCTGATGTTTGTCAACTATCAATATCTAAGCTCGATCGCATTTCTTGTAAGGAGAATGAACTAGTCAAATTACTAAATTCATATGGCCTTTGATTTTTCTCCTCAACCAACAGCCAATGCATAGCAAAGAGTTATTTGCAATGCTCTTTAGCCACTGACATACGTCGGGAATTTTCTTATCTTGTTGATTTCCCTTTCTGTAAGATGGATAACCAAATTGTCTAACAATTATCTCTCAACCTACGACAATTGTCTTCTAATGCTTACAAAAGGGTGAAATCAAATCTTTGCCTGCCATCGATATTCGATACAACTTTTTGTTGGCACCTAGTTTCCCCACTAATAAGTAGAACAACATTGTTGTACTAATTGACTTCCCTAAACCTCCAATGTTTATCATCAACAATCACATGATTTTTTTCTTGTAATTTTCCATTTTATAAATATCTATTCTCAAACTTTTTGTAATAAACAAAATTTGTGATAACAATTAATTTTGCCACAACATCAGCTAAATTTTTTGTTTATATTCATTGCCATTGCAGCAAGATAGATTGTACCTAATATTAGAATGGATCAATTTTTAAATTTAGGATGGATCTTTCTCTTATTAATTTTTGTTGGTACTTTATTATTGAAAATCATGAGCTCCAAAAATTTGTCTGACTCTCCAGAGAAGGGAAATTAGTTTTTTAGCTAAGACATTATTCGAAGATTTTCTCTCCTTTTATGAGAACATCATGATTTTCATGCTTCTGACAACTATAAACCTCTATGGTTAATTACCCCTTTCAGTGGTTAGAGAATTTTTTATTAAAGGGAGTAGTTAAGCTCTAAGTATTAAACATATAATAGTATCCAATTTTGATGTTAGATTAAAAAAAATTAACTGCAATTAGCTTAGAGCAAATGATGGAGGGAACGATAATAAATCCTGTTGATATCCTATTGTTCTGTCTTATGCTATCGTGAATTTTGATCTATCTATTTAGTTAGAGGAAGTAAAAAATTTAAAATTATCGGTTGATTCTTGTGAGCAGTCATGCGTTATGTTGTCTAAGAGGACCTCAGATATGGGTTGAATGCTTGTTTAAGAGATTAATTTTAAATCGATCTTTATTAAGAAAAAAATCCATGTTCTATCAAGTGCACCCCATGATTCATAACTTAAGAGAATAAAGCCTTTAAGGAACATATAGGCTTTGGCCATGATTGTAATTTAATGTATGCTATTTTTGTAGTGAGCCAGATGTCATAGGACAATGGTTGTAACCGTTCTTTTTGTGATATCATTTAACAACAAAATCATACAGTAAGAGGACATATATTGTTTTCTTATTGGTGTGAGAATGATTATGGACGTTTTTTATACATCATTTTTTTGTGAGCGTAGATTAATTTTAACTTTATCAACTTTATAATTTGGTTTGGATAATGGGTGGATGAATGCTCTCATATTAAGAATCAAAGGTTGTTATACGAGCCTCCAACCACCCCTATTGTGTCTAACAATTCGAGTACCACCTCCTTAAGGCTAACTATGACTTGAGGGGTATTATACCATGGATGCCAACCAACAGGCCGGGGTACGTGGCGCTCACTCACACACACACACACACACACACACACACACACACACGCCACACACACACACACAAAAGCCCCTAGGCACTCTCATGTGTCTAACTATTTGAGGACCGCCCTTACTACTAACAAATTGGCCAGAGGGGAATTCGAACGGGTGACCTGAGGGGACTTACGAACTTCAAAATGACTGCTCTACCAACAAGTCATGACCGGCGGCATACACACACACACACACAGATAGATATATATATATATATATATATATATATATAAATTAGGTCCTAATGTGACTTGCAAAGGATTTGGGAGCATTTTGATGATATGATATCCACCTGTTGAAATTTGTTATCAATGTGTCTATTATTAGGGTATTTAAGTTATTGAACTTTGTCGTTTGAATCTTATCAACTTTGCACGTTTGTTTCCAAACGATTGGGGTTGTATTTTACATTAATTATTGCCCTATAGTTAGTTGGGTTACTAATGTTTAACTTTGAAAAAAAGAGTTTGCAAATAATAACACAATTTTTTGAGTGAGTTATTTTAAGTTTATTTTATATTTATCTAGGCATCACTTTTCAGACAAAATTCAAACAAAGTATAATAAGAAGATTAATATTTTTGCATGAACTTTGCACACTTACATGATATAATTGCATGTTTTTGGTGTATTTGGCTATCATGTTTTTACTGTTCCATCATGCGTTTAATTTTATTTTTTTAATTTTTTTTAGACATTTTAAGTGTATGTTTTATGTATTTGCATTGTATTCTCCATTTTATCGTATTTTTGTTCATATCCTCTGCATTATGTGATTTTGCAGTTCGATTAGTCCAAATTTTGGTTACATCTTTGAGTCTCTCCATCGCGGGGGTATTTATGGGGAATGTTTGGCCTTCGCATTAGGCTTAAAAATTGTATATGATCAGTGCTGTGAGGTATTGCGGTGAGGGTCTTCAAATACACATTGCTTAAAAAGGCTCTCATAGTCTGCACAAGAAAATATGTGAAATAGGATTTTCTCACCATGTTGAAACAATGTGCATGTGTATGTTTTAAAATTTTCTTTTGTGTTGGAACAACCCGGACGAATGCTTAAGTTTTTGTTACTATTCTTTTTATTATGTCTTGATTTCTTGAGATAACTTTGTTGATGGTGAGGTGACAAACTTTTGAACAAGATTTAAACACAAAAAAAAATCTCCCTTTTAATGCAAAATTAGAGATAGAGATGGACAGAATGAGAGAATTATATAGAGGATATAAATGGGTGGTAAGATGATCAATGACATTGGAAGGTGACAACATCGATGGAGTTTAGCCCTGATTTTTTGAGTGGTTGCTATCGAAGTTGTTTGGAGAAGCATGTTAGCGGCTAGGTTTTTGATTGGCAACAATGAATGGAGATTTGATGTAGGTGGAATGGATGAAATGCAGTTGGCGAAAGACATCATTGGAGAAGGTGATGTTAGTGATGAAGCTGTATAAAAAGGCCATAATTGATGAAGAGCAATATGTTGAGTGCTTGAAATGTGGTGATGATGTCAATAAGAATAGGTTGGGATCAAAGGTTGTCGGTGAGTGGTAGAAGGTTGATTGAAAGTAGAAAATTAAGGTGGATGCTAGAGTAGACCAATAATCGGGTGGAAGGGTGAGAATGTTGACTAGGTAGGTTGGTTGTTTCAGCTTGGTTCGTTGACAGTAACTGGAGAAGAGGATTGGGTTGGAAAGCTACTTAAATAAAAAAAGGGAAAGAGCACGGAAAAAGTTACATGCCATTGTGATTGAGGGCAATTTTTAGTAGGCAGAAGTGATAGGAAATAAGAAGTTTGGTGGGGGAGGTGGACAATAAGCGAGTGGGGCAGGCATGCAAGCTGTGTCTCACGTAAGGGGGTGGGGGAGAGATTGGAGAAAGGGTTGCGTGTGGCAGAGATTCTGTCAGTGACGAGGTTTGAGAAGAGGGTAGGGAGAGGGTGCAGCTGCTTGTGCAAAGTTGAAAAACTGCATGCAACGTGCAAGCGAGTTGGGAGATGAGGATTGAGCAAATAGGAGCAAATAAGAAGAGTTTGGCTTGAGGATTTTCAATTTGTTTTGTTTTGTTTTGGTTTCTTTTTTTTTTTTTTTCAAATTTGATAAGGACGGACTAAAAAAGCTCACACGTGATTCTAATGGATGTGTATGAGGAAGTGGCTTTGTGGGGATTAGATGGAATTTGGAATTTAATTACAATTTTGAATTCTATTTTTTATTTTGATTTTGTTGATAATAAAAAAATAAATGAAAATAAACTAAAGAGAGCAAAATAATTATATGAATTTACTCCAGAAAGTTCATGTTTCTCATGCATTTTGTGTGTAGTGACCTATGTAATGTGAGTGTTCATTCGAAGTATTTTTGATCTATCACATGTGTTGGTGCAGTTGATGAGCTGAGTATTTCAATTGAGAACGAGGCATTTCAAGTCTAATTTGTATGACATTACATCCATAGTTTGCCGTCTTCATCGTGCAACAATTTTGTTGATGCATGGGATCCTCTATGAAATTTTTTCTGCACTCCGGATGCATGAACACAGGCTCTTTTGCAAACGAGCTATGGGAGCACACTTTTTAAGTAAATTGTTTGCCTTTTTCTTGCGCAAAGCATCAGAAAGCCTTATTAGGCAATATTGTCAAATCAAGAGCATTGATGAAGTCCACTTTGTAGAACAGGCAAAGTTTGAATGAATTGGTTCTAGTTGGCGTGTTTCGATCTAAATTTGCCCTCTCTATCATTTTCAATGCGTGGCATTGCTTTTGTCGTGCTGAGTCGAATTGATAGCATGGAGCTTTTTTCAGTAATTCCATTGCTTTGGATACATCAATGTAGTTTGCATTGTAAATTAAGCTGTGTTTTAGTGGTCTGGATTAAGATCAAAGTGTCTAGAACTTATCTTATACGATCTTGCATCCATTATTCGTCCTTGCATCGTATTTAGCTGTATGTAGTTGCGGAGCAAGTATGGAGGTCAATCATAACTTCATGTTAACGTGTTTGCTATAAGCTGGAAATGGAAATAACAATATAAGCAAAACTGCAATCATATTTTATATTTGAAATTTCTTTTGACCAAGTGAAAGAATGTAAATTCTATTAATGAATATTTTTCACTTATTACTTACAATTATTGAGTTTTGGAATTATTGTACAAAAAATACAAGTTGCAAGGTGCATTGGATAAAGTTTCATAATTATGCTATCCCATGCAAATCATTTTATCGTAAATATTCAATATCTTTATGAAAAATCAATAACATCAAAGTTCTTTTTGTTTTTTTGGTGGTTGAATTCACTTTGAATTTGATGTATGTTGCTTATGAAGTATTTGTTTTGAGGAATAATTGGAAGGTCTATTCTATCTTCATGGATTTTATTACAATAAATTTTATTTAGCCCTGATTACCAGTGTCAATAATCGGATATTAAACAATTCAAACATATACGCATTCAATAAACTGAATGAAAAATAATAAAATTTTCTTGGGTCAATTGCTGTTGGACATTCATATTTTTTAGAAGTCAATTAGAAGGTACCATTTAAAAGTGCCATTCTTGGACCCTTTAGTAAGGACATAGAATATTTTGATTTATTTATTATCCTTCCTTTTAATAGATTTACTTGAGTCATGTACGCTATTCTTGCAATATTTTTAGGTTCAGGTCTATTAGGAGGCATGGAAGTAGTATTGCTTGTCAATCTCATTGATTGTGCCTTTTCATTAGGATTGATTATTGTTTGCATATCCTTATTTGATGTTTATTGAATTTATTTGTTTTTTAATTTTTACTGAATTTATATTTTATAACTGCTGCACATTTTCTTATTTATGTGTAACATAAATGTACTTTGCTCCATGTAAAGTAAAAAATATTCCAATGATTCCTTTATATTTACATCCTATACAATGTCTACTCTTTTATTCGAAATGCTTCATTGATTGGAACTGCTTTATTTTGCCTTATTTTCTACGAGCAGAAAGCCTGGGAGGTGGCTCAAGCTCCTTTCAAGAATCTAATGATGATGGGCTTCATGATGTGGATGGCTGGAAGCACGGTTCATTTGTTTAGTATTGGAATCACATTCTCCGCTCTTTGGCAGCCACTAAGCGCACTTCAAGGTGTTGGAAAGGGTAAGATTTTTTTTCTCCTACTCGTGTAGAAAGAACATAATTCAATTCGCATTTATTGCCGGGCAGGCTTATTAAACTTAAGTCAACTCTAAACCAGTTTTTTTTAGCGTTATTTGTATTTTGTATGATCAAAATGCCAGCAGCTGTTGGACCTTAACTGCATGTTCCAGGCCTTCATGATGCTGTTATCATTATCCAAATTTACTGACATGCACATCCGATGAATAATCACAATATTTGGAACATAGTTTTTGTAGAAAACATTCAAAGCTAAGAGCTGTTTAATTGGATTAGTTAATTGTGGTAATGAAAATGTCTGTTTAACAATTCTATTTTTTTTTCTTTGTTCATTACTTGTTGGTTATATTATTTTCTCATAAACTTCAGCACAATACAGGCATTAATGTGAATTAAAACAATATTTTCCGCACATGAGCATTTTGAACGTTCCTGATAGTGTTCTGCCACCTAAGCAATTTCTTGTTGTAGCTCCTTATGCCCCAACTTCAAGATCAAGCTCTGAGGTGCCACAATTACGGTGTCTTATTTATAGGTTTGGACTGGAACAACAATCCCTGATTAGTTCTGGCCAACAAATCTGCTTCTCTATGTTTTCAGGGCGTTGAGGATAATTTTATAATGGCTTTACTAGTGAACGACCTTCATCCATTGTAGTTTCCATGCCTTATCCACCATTGTAATTTTTAACCCTTATTTACTTGTGCCTTGATCTTCCTCTGCTGCTCATTACCAATCCTTGACCAACTTAGCATGAATCCTCACTTGCTGTCAACAACTCAATCAGCTCTCCTCTATCCACTTCATCATTTCACCTTCTCAACCTTTTTCATTTCTGGATCTCTTCATGCCAGCTCACTCCTCAATTCACCGATCTCGATTCACACAACCATTATGCTTTTACTATTAACCCCAAAGTTCCTCTAACTCCGCCTGCCTCCATGATTTGATCTATGTTTTATTTTTAGGATTTAAAAGATTTTGGGTACTAATTTTTCATGGATGTAATCTCTCATTATTAATTACATCTTGAGTGAGATATTTAAGAAAACTTTTGATTAAAGAGGCTCGTTCTTATTAAACAAACCATAGTATTTCTACTATCTACAACCAAATATATCGAACTAACATGACTAGTATCATAAATATTCAAGCTACTCTGGTTATGCGTGAAACATCTAATATGTTACAAACTCCTTTTTAAGTTTTAGTTGATGTAAAACTTTCCTGCAGCTACCACCTTTCTACAGAGAGGTAATTATCTATGGGAGCCTACACATGCGGGAAACCTTTAAACCCAGAGTACAGTCCTTACATGAGGGAAAAAAATTATACATAATGCTTTTATCATTTTTGCTTTAATTAACTATGGGAGCCTACACCTGCGGGAAACCTTTATACACAGAGTATGGAGTCCTTACAAGAGGGAACAAATCTATAGGTTTTATCATTTTTGCTTAATTTGCATCTTGGAAAAAAACTCTCATTGGTTTATTCCCAAACCAGAGGAGCAGATTTTTTTCCGAGTCCGCACTGTCGTGAAAATGATCTTTTGCTTGCATCTCTCATTAGTTTCTACTAATGTTGGTTTCTTTAAGCTTTTTATTTGGTGCATTAAACATCTCAAGGTAAGGCCTTACAAGCATGTTCTCGTTCTTCTTTGTTGTTCTGTTGTTCTTGCCTCTGTTTCTCGTTACTGGCTGTTGCATTTCCTATGCCTAGAAGAGAATTTTCTTGTTTTTTTTCAGCTAAGTCTGTTGCTTAATGGATTGTTTTCTTGTTTTTGTTGCAGTTTTTGAACCTTACAAGGACTCAAGGGTAGATACTATAGCCCCCAAGTTACTCTTTATTGCACTCAATCTAGCTGGACTGGGTTTGGGTGTATGGAAAGTGAGTTGTAGTCGGTGCTTAATAATTTATTATTCCATACTTATGCAATCTAGTATTTAAAAATGAAATGAATTTCATTTGCTTCCGGCTATCTTTTGACAGTTGAACACTTTAGGCCTTCTGCCCACTCATCCTTCAGATTGGGTTTCATCTCTAGCTCCAGCCCCGGTATGATTTAATTTTCATTATATCACAAATAGTTCTTCTATTATTGACTTTAAATCATATTTAATGAAATTCCAACTTTGTATATATTGTACATCTTATCATGCTATGCAGTCCATATGGCGGTAGCATCTGTTTTTGGGATATTTCATACTTGATGTGTTTTTAGCTTTACCATTGGTTCATCTTATTACATGCCAAATGGAAGTAGGAAGACTTGCATACATAACACTCAATTTTTACATACATGCCCCCTTATCTATGCTTGAAGAGGTGTATTTCACTTTTAAAGTTAAAATGGTGGTATTTTTTAAAAGTGAGATGAAAGATTTGAGTGTTATAAATATAAAAATTAAAATTTAGACGTTAAACATGTAAATACATAAGAATTGGGCGGTATGTATGTAAATGCACTAATTACTTTATTACGTATCTAGATTTTTTTTTTCCTTTTTGGTTGATTTGAATTGGATGTGTGGGGCTATTCTTTTAACGTGATGTTAGAGTTCCAAAATGAAAGGATTCTTTGAGTTATGTGATATGAAAAAGAAGAGTTTTCCACATAAGTTTGGACAAACAAAATACTTTATTTCAATAAATACAAAACAACACAACTCGAATTCGTAAATGATAAGAATCGACAATTCTAGAGGTTTCGCGATCTCTCCCAAAACTATAACCTAAAGATTCAAGACAATAATCTTATAATATGACTTAACCCTAAGCACAATAAGCTCTATTTATACCAAACAATAAATAATAAAAGACTAAATTTCCCTTAGGCGCAAGTCTAGCATTACTCCCCTCCCAAAATGACACCTTAAGGTGGAAAAAAAAGAAACTAGTGTTGGATCAAATCACGTGACTCTCACTCATAAACTGACTTGAGTTCGGCTCTCGTTGTCAATGTTTGATTGAAATAAGTGATGAATCGTCGATACTGCATGAGAACTGCACCTAATCCATAGCCCGAAACATCTATCTCTATAATGAGAGGTTGGTTGAAATTAGGTCATGTCAAAACTGGTACATTCTTCATTACCTTCTTTAAATTCTCAAATATTTGGATCGACGCTTTCCCCTACTAAAATTTATCATTTTTCAGTTTCTCCATCAACAAGCATATAATTGAATTACGACCCTTCCAAAAAGTTCGGCAGTATACTGTAAGTTCTAGAAATCCTCTCAACCCTTTCAAAGTTTTAGGTAATGGTCACTCCAATATAGTTGTCACCTCTGATGGATCCAGGTGTTGCTCAAACTTTGATTTCCATGAAACACCATCTTGTTTCCCTCTTGAATACTCTGCAGTGTCAAAATCAGTCTCTTATAAACTCCCTTGCTCTTTTCCATTTGTCATATTCCCATCATTACTCCTGAATTGCCTTCTGCCCAGAAAACATTGGTTTTGTTAGATGCAGCCCTCCGTCGGAGCCTTACCCACTGTGGTTTCATGTTCACAGTCAAAATTATTCGAAGCGGTCTTCTGTAGCCCCAAATCGCACACTGTCCAGCTTCTAATGCAGCTACTTATTTCAGTTCTTTGGATATCGTACAATTCTCCCCAAATGGTGTTGCACGAATCTGCTTCAGACTCCTTCACTCGATCATGCCTGCTTCCATTTATTCCAGTCATACGAATGTCGCGCTATTTCTTCTAAGTGCTGCCACCCAGATCTGCTTCTGATTCCTTTGCTTGATCCCGCAGCTCAAGGCTTGCCTAATGCAGTGATGTTGGCTAGTTGTTGCACAAATTCTTTTGGTTGTTGCTGCTCGCGTCTGCTCCTGACACTCGAGATTATAAAAGAGGGAAGTTCGACAGGAAATGTAAGTATGAATGTCTTGACCCAAATGATGATAACCATGACTTTGCTAATTCATGAGTCTATACTGCAGACTAGTGGGGTTGAGTCTATTGTTGTGGATAAGTACTTGAACACATTTCAAGATCTACTTCCACCTTTGTTTAAAGGAGCTGAAGATTCAATTGAAGTGAAGAATTGATTGATGTGAATTGGGAAGATATTAGATAGCATTTCGTGCCTGATAAAAAGAGAGTATCATTAGTTACATTTGTTTTGGATAGAGAAGCATAAAGGTGGTGTCGTTGGCAACGTCAAGATAGACTTGGGGATGTACCCAATCTGATGATAAATGGGAGGATTTTGAGGAGCTTTTTAGAGAGTGGTTTGTCCACCTATCCGCTCGAAGTTAGATGCATGACAAATTCATTAAGTTGGTGCAATGAGAGAAGACAGTCATGTAGTATGAAATAGAGTTCACTACACTGTCATGTTATGCTCCACTAGTGATAGCTACTGCAGAAGAGAAGTATTATAGATTTTTGTTTGGATTGAATGATTTGATCAGACAACCGTTGGATTGATGATTACTCAGTGTTGGTAGAGCGGGCTAGGCGAGTGGAAATTGATAATCAACTCACTCATAAGCGTAAAAATATACACAAGAGGAAGAGTATTGATGAGAGTGAGCATGTGAACAAATTAGAGGGATCCAAAGTCACTACCTGACCTGATAGTTGAGAATTAACGAAGTCAGGAAATGTAGTTCGATGGTAATAACATTTAATTTACTTTTCACATATTTTCAGACTATCAAAATATAAAAGAACTACTAAGTATCCATAAAGTATACCATACAAAAATTGACACATCCAAAAATAACAACAAAATCTGTAGACATCTCAAACCAGCATATAATAGTGGATCACTACTGAAAATAAAACGATACAAAAAAATTATAATTATAATGCCTATCAATAATAGTCATCCTGTAAAATAAATCTCTTTTATCAGACATATCAACCTACTATTTTTTCTGAAACAAACAATTAAATTCAACATTAAGTTTTCACAACTTAGTATTATAATCTTAATATGTATTGAATTTATATGTAAAGGCTATATATGAATGATAAAAAAAATGAAGTCCGTTATTTTATAAAATTGTAAGCTTTCATTTTAAATTTAGTCCTTGTTTCAGTTTAAATATTTACCAATTCTAACATACTTAAGAGTTATATCAAGATTACCGTCATACCCGAATGTTTCTCAAAATTATTCCCGTAGGCACCTTAAAAAATTTAGCACCTCAAGTTACACCTTTATAATTTTTTTCATCGTGTACAGGTACATTGCATCTTCTGTCAATATCATCTCAGGGTAATTTTGTATTGCTCAAGTCATTACATTTTGTTTATCTTAATTACTGTGATTTAAGATCATTGAAATCAATATTTTCAATTTCCAATTCATTCTTTCCAGTAATTCTTTCATCCACAATATGTTTAGATTATTTAATCAGGTATAAGAAGCTATAATGCAATTTTTCATTAAGCAAACTTTAATTTAGACAACAAAATAATTACTCGTCTGAAGCCTGAAAGCCTTTTTCTTTCCATTGGGTTCCTCTTTTCTTATTTTCATTATGCAATTTTCTTATTCTTCCATTGGGTTCCTCTTTTCTTATTCTTCAACTAGCACTAATTAAAATTCATAAATTTCCTGAATTAATATTTAATAATCAACAATAATTTAACTATGTATGAATTATATGGTTAAAGCAATCACCTCCCTTTACTTTTAAAATTCATTGCCTTCAAATCCTAAAGATTTATATGCCTTCTTTCATTCTTTTTAATTGAATAAAATTTAATAACATTAATTTAAATAATTATATCATTTGTTCTAATAACAATATAAACATTAAAATTTATTTTTGAAATTTCTCGAATCGATCTCCCTTAGCTCGCACACTTCATGTTTCAATCAAACTTTCATATACATATATATATATATGAAAGATTTTGGTGAAAGATAGAGGTGTGATATGAAAGATATGAGTGATATAAATGTAAAGAAGCAAAGTAGATATGTAAATACATATGAAATGGATGTTATGTATGCAAATGCCTCAACAAGGAAGATTGATTAAGATTGCTACTTTTATATCATTCTTATTTTATATTGTTTTCAGCAAGTTATATATGTCAACATTGCTACTTTTTATCCACAGCTAATTCATGAACTTTATACAAATGTAGGAGGCTGAGTATTCTGGTGGTGGCCTTCTTTTCAATTGACGCCCTGCTTCTTCTACAATTTGCATTGTTAAATTATTATTAATTTAAAATATTTATAATTTACTATATTCGGACCCACCTGTGATGGTTCAAAATTGGATCCATCATTTTGAGAAACATAAGAGTAAGTGATTAATGTGCCAGATGATTTAATGCTTGCTATGTTTAGATGAGTATTTCTACATTCTCCAAATATATTAACATTAAATATAAAACAAAATAAAATAAAAAAAATTGAGACTGGCCTTCTTTTATTATTTTGGTGGATTAATAAGAATTAAAAGAGGTTGATTGGTTTGTTTAGTATATGATTACATATTGTTGGTAGATTGCATCTGTTTCATTTACTTGCACCTTTAAATCCATAAATTCTTGGAAGTTTTGCCTACATACCCATTCAATTCCTATTTATTTACATATATCACCTAAGCTAGCCTCTGCATAAAAAAAGGTGTATTTCACTTTATAAAAGTTAAAATGGTGGTGGTATTTTTTATGTAATATGAAATATTTTTGTATGGTATAAATGTAAAATGAAAAATTCAGGTCTTACATATGTAAATTCATGGGAATCGAGTGGTATGTGCGCAAATGCTCTAAACATTATCAGAACTTGTTTATTTGGCTTCTTAATATCTTTTGGCTTCAAAAAAAATTTAAGTTATCCTTATTTAGATGCTGTGTTGATGAATCTAAGATATCATATTACCAATTATACCTGTTTTTTATTTGTTTATCATTTCAATGCCATATAGTTTCAGTGTTATATAAATAATATAATTACATGGACTATTCTGTAATTTCTATAAGTTTGTTATTTTGTAGCCATACTTGCTGCTGTTAAACGCATCATATGGTTTTAGTTGTTTAAGATAAGTCTGTTCTTCATTTATTTTGTTTGATCTGCATCAAATCCAAGCTGAAGCTTTAGCATATTACTGCTTAGCTCAAATAGAAATTTATTAAGTTGCCTGTTAGATCACATTTAAAAGAAGTAGTTTTCCTGGCTGAAATGTTGCTAAGAATTGTATGATTAATCATAATCTTGATCCACGAGTAAATCATATTCTTTAATTTTGATTTTTTGTAAGCGTACTTTCTATCATCGGCCATTTAAAACTACTCATTGCATTTTGTTAAAAACTTAAAAATATTTACGTTTTTTACTTTGAAAAATGTTGACATTTTTAATTATAGTTTTATTTAAAATATCATTTTTGAATTTTCGTTTAATATATTATATCAATATTGTATTTATAAAGGCACTTTCTATTTCATTTTCTTTTTCATTTCTTTATTCAAGCCTCATTCGTT